ACCACACACACGTACACATTCCCCCCTCCCTGCCACACGCACACGCACACACACACACACACACAGTGGCACACCATGTTCGGTGAAATTGTAGACTCCTACTCAGTGTACCTCAATAGCATGATCCATTACTAAATGTGCCTCAATATCAAATGCTATTATCGGGAGCCTTGATAGCAAATGCTATTATCCGGAACCTCATGGAAACAGTTGACGGTGTCTGCCTGTATGTGCTTCCACTGAGAAGGGGACCCTTGCAAGAGTTGCAACATCACAAGCATAACCCCCCAACTGCTCAAACCATCCAATGGTTTGCGAAGTCTCCACTTGCACAAAAAAAAAAAGAGAAAAAAAGAAAACGAAAATTGCTGACGGGAAATTGTACAGGTCAAAACATGTTCTCCTCTCAACGCTATATCTAGTCCCTCGGAAGCAAATAGCGACTAAGGCACTGTGACACTAGTATAGCTACTAGCAATGAAACGGAGAGCACCACGAGGCCTAGCACAAACTACACTGTCACTACAGCATGTGCCACACTGCAACGAGGTAAAGAGCCCAATGGAATGCCGTTGACAAAGGAGAGGAGGGGAAGGAAACTTGTGCGTCAAGGAAAAGACGGAAAAGCTGTTGGGAGCATAGACTACGCAATGTACACACACTACCAAGGCTGAGCTCTCTCCATGTATCTAACCATGTTAAACAGCAAAGTTCAACTCCTGTCTATTAGGTGCATTCTATACAGTCAGGCAGTCGGTCGTCGACATGCTCGTTACAACTCGGTGTCTGACATGCCCATATTCACAACCAAATGAGCAGCATGCCCTAACCTTGTCCAGTGCCCACTACACAACCTACAGAAAGAAGCATGTTCCTACTACTTCCTAGCAGAGTGTTGGAAAGTCGTGATGACAGGCGATGAGACGTGACGATACGATCGTTCCTGCGCAAGGAAGAAGAATTCACACAGAATTCACACAATACAGACCACCCTCAGGCTGCTGCAACTCGGTGTCTTCTCTCCCCTCCCTCTTTCCCCCTCCGCAATATTGGAGGGTTTTATGGGGTCTTCCCATCATAATCTGAGCAATGCCATCCACTACAACAGGACCGAACAGGCCTTGGGCAGGAAATGATCAAAGTGTTGCAGCAACAACGATGCCACTACCACAGTGCGACCCCGAGCCGATGACCGGCGAAGGGTTCAAAGCACAGTCACCGCATTGATTGCGACATTCGGGACCCAGTTTCTTTGACGATGAGATTTGCCCCTCCACAGGCTCCACTTACATTTCTACTCTACTGAGATTCAGTCCAGTTCAGAACCAAACTCCGATACACCACATACTAAAAAGTTTAACATCCAACGAGGGAAACCTGCGTTCCTGCGCCGTAATGTACTTGGTCGTGTTGCAGATTCCAGATGGCATTGCTCGTGAAAGGAAACCGAGCTTGGCCGCGTGATGTTGTCTTGGCTGACACTCTCACCAACCTGATGACGAGCGTGGCCTTCTGCTGACAGGATGGGCGTGGGCCACCGTTGGTTCGAATCGCTGTCGCTCTCGACACTTTGACAATGGACGTAATCTTCCGACCGGATTGGGGGTTGGGACGCTTCGCCGCGGACAGTCTCAACAACTCTATGATAGAAGTAATCCTCCGACAGCCTGAGAATGTTATTCTCCTAGTACGCAAATCAGCAAAGAAAGTTCACGAGAGAAACAACACACACCTCACTGTCAGGCAAATGCAAAACAAACAACACACGCCAGGCAAATGGTGGCAGTGGTAGTAGTAGTAGTAGTAGTAGTAGGAGGGGGAAATTCAAGAGAAAAAATAACTCAAGTGAATGAAATATCAGTTGATGAATCAACCCAAGCCCAAGCCCGTGTCCAAATGAGAATCACAAAAAAGACGGATTCCGAAATGAGAAGCAGAGGAAGAAGGGGACTTCCGCAAATAACTGAAACCGAAAGCATGAAATTTCAATAATGAATCAACCAAAGCTCTTGCCCAAATCTGAATCACAAAGTAATAGTAGAAAAAGGAGGAAGGAGGATGAAAGAGAGGTGGAGGAGGAGCCTAGGAGGAGTGTGGGAGGAATCCTCAAATTCTAAGATTGGCTTTAACTTGTGCTGGGGGGGGGGAAGAGGCAGGACAGTGTCGTGTAGCACCGACATCACAAAGCAGTTTGGGGTTTAGGGGTAGCATAAGCGCCACAGAGCTCTTGTAGCGCATTTGATACCTTTTTTGTTCTTCAGAGACAAGATTGACTTTTAACTGAAAATGGAACCCCCCCCCCCCCCTGCACCTGTGACTGCTGCCCAGTTCAGAATTCGCAGAAATAACAGTCCACTGCAAGATTGGGCCGTGAGCAGTTTGAAACA